CCCTTCCACGGCCTTTACCCCTAGCTCTTCATCTACCTCTGCCTCGACCGCGACCTCTCGCTGTAGATTCATCAGCTGGAGTATTGACAGGAGCTACGGGCCTAACACCGTTATACCTAGTATTAACCATCTGCGAAAAGAAGAGTGAAAGATGTTAGATACCAATTTGAATCACCAGATACCAATTGGAATCAAGTCATAGCACGAAAGGAGACAAGAGAAAAAAAATAGAAATTTCCTAAAGTCCTATAGCCTCTCGAAGAAAAGTAAAGGCATCCCCGTACCGTTCCGCGAGTCTCTATTAGACTCATTTCGGTACATCAAGATCAACGAACCTAGGCTCTGATACCAACTTTATCATGACCCAGACCGTCGTGATTGACACTCACCCTAACCATCCGGTGGGAGAACCACTACTACAACCTAAACTAAGCAACTAAACTAAAACTAAGGCAATTAAGTTACGGAAGCAAGTTAATTAACTAACAAATGCGAAAATTTAATACCTAGAACCTGAAAGTCAATGTACCAAAACATCTAAACAAATGATCCAAGTCTAAACAAGAAGGGATACATCCCCAACTAATGAACTAATCAACTAACTAGAACAAATATCTAAGTCCGAAAATGATGGACATAGACGAAAGAGAATCCCATGGCAGCCCGAAAGAATTGGCTCACTTTTGAATTCGAAGCGACGATCATTGATCTTCTAAGTGAAGTCTGTCAATAGTCGCGTGAAGATGCCTTATACGACTGAACAAAAATAAGAGCAAGTGCAGTATTAGTACACAACCACAGTGTACTGGTAGGATCATGCGGCTATCCTACTAGTGCAACATAAACAAGTCAAACAACATTATAATCACATGCATATATATCAACATATACAACATTATCCACATTTATGAGCAACCAACAACTTCACATTTTATAGCATATCATTGGTCCTCTCACGGAACCCAAACCCAAACCCAAACCCAAACAGTTAGCATGCCGGAACGTGGCAATTCGATCCCATATTTATGCCGAAATGTGGTAATCGATCCCATAATTATGCTAGAACGTGGCAACCGATCCCATAATTATACCGGAACGTGGCAATCCGATCCAAGTTAGTTATGCCAGAATGTGGCAATCCGATCCCTTTCACACACCACAATCACAAACACAAGTATATCATCAAGATAATACATTTAAGTCATGATTTCATGGCAATGATATTTCATCTATCTCATTTACAACAAGTGTGATCAACATTGTAACATTCATACATATACAAGTATCATAATGAAGCAAGAACAAGCATACATTACACAATCATGGAATCACAACCATTACCTACCTCGAAACAAACTTGAAACCCTAAGAAACTTGATCTTTACCTTTTCGGATTCGTTCTGCTTGTTCTTGGTCTACAAATAATCACAATAACATGGGAATTAACAAACAATCACTAATTTCCTGGAACTATAACAATTTTATGAACCCTAGATCGAACTCATGATCCCAAACATCCAAACTATAGTTGTTTTCACCATATAATCTATAACAAAACCTTCCTCCATCAATATTCACCCATTTTATTACGTTCTACGGATCGATAAGCGAATTCGGGGAGTGAAAAGCTTACCTTTAGCCTCAAGAATGGTGAAAAACGAGTAGAAATCGCCTGTGGGTCGTTCTTTAGCTCTAAAAGTTGAAAAGTGCCAAATAAGGTCGTTTAGGGGCTTATTAACGACATTAAGTCGCATTTGGCCCGCCACAGTGGCCCTCATCCCACTGTAGCGGCGACTCCAAAGCGACATCAAGTCCTGCCAGAGTGGCATTTTCGAACCAGTGAGCTATCCATTCTTTTCTACGATTTTAAGTCTCGTTGTACCCGCCACAACACCCCATATCTTGCTGTAGCGAAGCGGCCAGACTCCCGCCAAAGCGGCACAAACGGAACCAGAGAGTCAACTGACGAAATTCCAAAATCCCATTTCCCTACACACCCCTAACCCACGACGATAAGAAAATACCCCTCATGCTAAGATTGATCCGGGAGTTCTACTTACCCAAATTCAATTCCGTAAAATCGTACGAATTCCTTAACAAGTTATCTAACTACTCATGCAATCAAAATCAAGAACAATTCACCCGATTGTTACCAGATTTCCCCACACTTCAAGGACTCCGATTTCGTTCAAATCTGGACAAGGTTGGAAAGTACAAATACTACGAAAAAGTTTTTCCGGCCCCAAATTTTTCCCCGTTGACATTTCTATAACAACGGAACCCGGTCGTTACATCTTCTTCCACCTTTTGATCGAAATATACCTTTAATTTTTGTTTTTTTTTGTTCAAAATACTCTCTTTCTCCGTTTAGTCTACCATATTTAACTTGTATTATCTATATATATTTACATATCTAATATTTATGATTTTAAAGTCGATTAAACGGTTACCGTATAGAAATTCGTAATTTTGTTATTTGAACTAAATGTTTTTTTTTCTTTTTTTCCTTTAAAATGTTTGTACTCGAAATCTTTAATTGAAGATAATCTTGTAAGGAAAATTACTAGATTGGTTGTCCTATTTTCTCTTGGTCCTCAAGGTGCTGGTTCGAATCTTTATAAGAACAACATATCTTTTTAAAACTATTTATATTTTCTCTTCCGTTCGACTAATATTTCCTAGCTCTTAATAAATATTATCAGATCTCAACACAACTCAGATTCTAATTAATTCGCTGAAATTTATTATTTTTCTAAATTTTATTATTAAAAAATTATCAATACAATCATAAGCAAACATAATAAGAGATCAACATGTGATGCAACAAATGTCCTCGAAGTATCATTAATGGTCACTATTTTAGTAAAATCTAAAGTTGTTTATATCGATTTTATTTAGTATTATTTCTAGAAAATTGGTTACCCTTGTAATTAGGCAATGAAGTAATCTATGTGTTTGGTAGAAAAGATATCCAATGCAATTTTTGCTCGACTAAAAAAATAGTATATAGATATTTTATTAGAAAATCGTCTACTTAAAATTTGATATCAATAAATAGTTATTTTCTTTTAGTGTTGAGGATAAATAGTTAAGTCTATGAATATATTAATTAGCCAAATTTTATCCCTTTTCTTTTACTCTATACTATGATACTAAAAGTTAAAAGAATATATTTTTCATTTCAAAAATAGTTAGACTAAAATATTGTAAGTATTTTGGATGATCTAATATAATAATTGAATAAATAAAAAATTATCTTCTAAAACAAATAAAGAATTCACTAATTAGTAAAAGAATTCAATTCAATTAATTTGGGTTGATGGTATTTTTAGAGTAAAAGGTGAAAGTGGGGTATTCTTGAACCAAAAAAAGTTGAGGGTATCTTTAGACCAAAAAGTGGAAGGATGGAATTTCTGAGTCATTTCTAATAGGTTAGTTGTATTCTTGAGCAAAAAAAAATAAATTTGGGATAGTTTTAGACCAAAAGGGGATGATGATATTTATGAGTCTTTTCCTTTTAGAAAGATATAGTTTAATTTATTGGGTTCTTAATTAATTATTATATGCTTTAATAAGTAGATTTTTAAACACAAATATAGAATTTTGAACCAAAATTATTGAATTCTAGTGAATGCGCTGGTGAACTAATAACATTGTCCCCGCCTACTTTCACTTCTTTTCTCTATATTCTGTTATGATCCTATTGTAAGGTATGGAACATGAGTCTTACGTCGGTTTGATGGAAAATTAATATGGGACTTATATAGTCATGGAATCTTCCACCTCAATTAATAGCTAGCTTTTGAGGTGTGGTCCTCCCTAGATTGTATTAGTGTTGTTAGAGCCACCTACCACTCTTTGTGTCCGCTGTGCCTTGAATGATGACATCAATATTGCAGTGTTGGCCTAGGGCTAGATATGGTCTAACGCGCAACTATCGAGGACGATGAATGACGAGCGTGATAGTATGTTATGATCCTATTACAAAGTATGAGACTTGAGTCCGACCCTCATCGACTTAATAAGAAGCAAATATAAGACTTGTATAATTTTAGACTCTCCCACCTTGATCGTCGTATGATATCAAAAGAGATTTGACCTTGCTAGCATGGGATTGACATATTTGATTGATGGAGAAAGATAAAAAATAATGTACTTTTGATTTTTTTTCTAAATGACATAGTGATGATTCATATCGTCGATCTCAATTTATTTGAGATTAAAATGTAATTTTCTAATTTGTTTTATTTTAAATTTCTCACATGTATTTTTTTATCAAACATGCAAAAATATTAAGTGATAGTTATGGATCATTGCAAGGTATGAAACTACTTGAGTTCCTCATTAATATTGCAATTTGTTGATATGAGGTTTATATAACATTGGGCTTTCTCACCTTAATAGCTAGTTTTTGGATGTGGTTTTTCTTGAGTTGTGTCAATGGTCAGAGATAGGGGTGGCAAAATCAAGTTCAACTCGCGCAATCCGATCCAACCTATTTAGGTTTGGGTTGGTTATTGACTCGTCCATTTGTTAGCTCAATCCATTTCAATACAACCCATTAAAAATTGGGTTGATATGTAACCTAAATTGATTTTTAAAAAATCTTGTCAAAGTATTATTAAAAAACTTTTTTTTTGATTTTATATATTATATATAGTTATAATAAAGAAAAAAATAATTTTATTAGATACTAAAAGCTTATAAAATACTAACAAATAAAGTTATTAAAACTTAGTAAAAATTGGGCGGGTTGGGTTATGACCTGTTACTAACCCGTTTTGATCCAAACAAATTTGGGTTGGGTTGGGTCTTGATCCATTTATTGTCTTGACCCATTTTGACCCACCCAAATTTAACCCAATCCGCTCAATTGTCACCCCTAGTCAGAGACACTCACCACCCCTCGTGCCCGTTGTGCCTATCGTGCCTTGGATGGATGATGCCAATATTGCAGTGTTCTCCCGAGCTAGTAATGTCTAGCCCATAGCTAACCGCGAATGCCTATGCACTTGACTAAAAAGTGGATACCTTGGAAAGAGCTACCTACTTATGGTATAGTTAATAAAGCTACCCTGTATGAAGCGGTTGACAATAATAAATGTGGAGCATGGTAATTTATTATGGTTATTACAAGATATAGAATTTGATTTTCATATTGGTATTACAATATGCTAATATAGGATTTATATAGTTTTGGACTTCCCTATCATAGTCCTTATTGATGCTCCTCATAATTAGTCACAAAAGAAAAGAATAATAGGTGCATAAACACTATGCATATGTTAGATTTAAAATCCTAATCTCTAGTTATCACTAAAAATAAGGAGCAAGGATGGTGGAGAATTTCTAAAATAAGAGGATATCACTAACCAAACAAGAACAAAAAAGGAACAAAATTCCTCAATCCCACTTTTCTTTGGTTAAAAAAAGACATTATTTTTCATCATCATGTCCAATTTTCTTCAGAGTTTCTTGTCATCCATCATCCTTCAAAAGAATATTTCTTTATCAAACTAAATAAGATGAGAGTCTCTTTGTGTTTATATCTTTGTTTAGATAATTGAAAATTTTTAGAAAAAAGTTTCCTAATGATACAACATTTGAGAAAGAAATGGCTATTGAGTCAAGCAATATTAGTAGTTTGATATGGACAAATGTCAAATATTCTATAGAATTTTCCTCCACTTTTACCAAAAAACATCCATTTGTTTCATTCACTTTGTTATTCTTCATCTTGTTTTATGCTCTTTCACCATCAAACACATGGTTTTTCATATATTCCTTACCCCTTTTGTTCTTTTTCACTATTCTTCTTATACTCTTTTTTAGCATTCCAAGTTTCAAACACTTCGAAAGAGATGTTGATCATTCGAAACCTTCTAGGAATATAATCAGTCATCATGATGAAGATGTCATTGAAAATAAACGAAAGGCTTTTCTTCGAGCTAGATCTGTTAGACGAAGAAAATCCAAGAAATGTATCGAAACTGGTGCTGAGGAGTTTATACAAGGTGGAACTTTTCGAATACCTTTTAGTGATGATCATTATCATGATGATTTTGTTGATAAAGGCGCGTTGATTGAAGAAAAACTGAAAGATATACGAGAGGTGGAAGTGCATTCGATAAGTCATGATCGTGATGAATGCTCTTCTAGCTCAAGTATTTTCAAGAATTCAAGGCCTGTTGAGTATTCAGGTTGTTCTTATGAAGGAAGTGGAAAATGTTTTAAATCATTTAGTTGTATGTATGAGAGAAAAAGAGAATGTTTTGGTGAAACAGAATATGATGGGGCAAGAAATAAGGGTGTGCAATGGAAAGATGATGATCAAAAGAATCTCATGGATCTTGGACTTTCTGAGATTGAAAGGACTAGAAGATTGGAAAGTTTAATGGCACGAAGACGAGCACGAAAGATGTTGAGCCTACAGGTTAGAAGATCATTGATGAATATAGGCTGCAAAGAAACATTTCCTCCAATATCTTCAATTTTAATTCCAAAACATAAAGAATCAACTAATCAATTTTCAACTACCCCGGGTTCAGCCCCTTCGATTATGGGACCAAATCGGAATCCTTTTGACCTTCCATATGATCAACATGAAGAAAAGCCTAATGTAAGAGGTGGAAGTTTTATGCAAGAGTTCATGTTAGCTCAGGAACAGAAGGAGTTGATGTTATCCAGGCATGGAAGCTTCTGTATGGGGACTGCATTTCCAGGGGATTTGAATCTTGATCAGCGCGAAAGGACTCAACGTTCTGATCTTCCGTCCAGGCAATGGTTTCCAGAGACATCTGAAAGTTCCAAATCAAGACATCCGTTAGGTAAAATGTCGCGTCTATTCTTTTTTGGATGAGTACCTAGATAGCCCCTTAAACTTGACATGTTTTATAAGTTAAACACCTCGGGCTGACATGACAAATATAACTAGTGCTGTCTGTCAACCTATCACAACCCTCCGCCTTTATCTCAGGCTTGAGACCAAGAATGTTCGCGAGCTTATTCAGGGTGACCTTTGTCCTTCAATACTTCCTTTAAATGAAACTCAACAAATGTGATTTGATTGCAGGTAAGGAAGATAATGATAGAGTAGTTGAAGAAGTACCATCTCAAGCATCCGAACCGGAGATGAACGTGGTCTATAAAGGAGATCATAGTAGGGAAGTCCAGGATGAAAAAGACAGTAGTGAAGTACTGATAAAGTCAGTACTAGTGGAAGATATTAGCAATAGGGTAAGTTCATCATCTTCGTCGGAAGATGATGAACCATTCTATAAGATAGACAAAGATGCAATCTTGAAGTCTATTGCTTCTCCTGCTCTAAGGAACTTATCAGGTGATCCATCACCTTCTGGTTTATCCTTGTTGGAGAACACGATAGAGGACGAACGTTTATACTATCCTAATCGTCCTATGCATCACACTCCCGGCCAGTCTATTGCTTCTGACATGCAAGTGGAGGTTTCTGAAATCGGTTCACCTCCATTGACAGACGATGGGAGCTCATCCGTGGGTGAGGAGATTTCTATAGATGGGGAGATAGAAAAAGCTATAACGTCTAGTAGTGAAGACATGCTGATGTCTTCATCTCACCTAGCTAGAGTAGATGAAAATGAATCAAATTCCAGAGAAGTACGCGAGGTCACTGAACAAGATATAGTAGAATTTGGATTTTCGAGGTTCCATATGTCTGAGAATAATGTGCAACAAAATATTCCATCAGAACGAACAATTGAACCGTATTCCACTGGTTCAAGCTCATTTCCACCTCCAAGGACAGACAGGAATCAAGCTAGCAGTAGTTATCAACAGCGTAGGCCGGAAGGACTTTCTGTAGTTGGTGAAAGATTTCAAGATTCATTACTACAACCAGAATTTCCAGCACAACAACTCCCTTTCGCATCAACGTCACTAGTATCACCGACATCTGTTCTACAACCAAATTTCTTAATTGAACATGGATCCTCTTCGAGTATTGATCAGCTACAAAATGATAGGTTAGTGAACATATCCAGTGAGAGATCAGATTCAATTGCTTCACAGGAATCAGATCTTAGTTTAAGCAACTTAACATTACAAGTTTCTGAATTACCTTCAGAAACAGAAAATTCAATTTCAGCCAAAGAGAACGATGTCGCTGCACTCGTTCTAGACAGTGCCAGCGAACAACATAGGGAAACTGTGGCATTTTCAACTATTGGACAAGGACATCACTCATTTGAAGCCTCTTCTAGTACATCATCGTCTAAGTCTGTTTCGCAACCAACATTTTCCATTGATCAAGGATCTAATTCAAATTTGGAGGCTCAACAAGTAGACACACGCAACCTAAAAAATAAGCTGCCAGATGAAGTAACTGCTGAAAGTTGTGATCCAACCACTACTCGGAGCTCAACACTTAAGTTAAGCAATCCGACAGTGCAAAACTCAGTGCCACATCCGGAGACACAGAAGTCTGCAGAAAATTCAAAGTCTCTTCCTAGAAATGACATTGAGGAAACACTTCGCGATAATGGTGGTAAACAGCCTATTGAAGAAGTTTTTTCTACAATTAGCCAGAGTTTTGATGATTCACAAGCATCATCATCATCACCACGTGATTTGGTGGTTGAACAAGTTTCGAATGCCTCTACTTCATCCCCCTATCCAAATACTATGATTCAACCAAAGTTCTCACCAAGTGAAGGCTCCTCGACTTCTGAAGAACAGAAAAGAATGCAGGTTTGGTGATTTAATGAATTTGACAATGATTAGATTATGCAAGTTAAATGAGTTGATTTCTCTGATGGTTACTCAACTAATAGTTATTATCTTAGAAAGTCACCTTTCTTCAACAAAAAGAAAGTGACTTTATGAGATAATAACTACTATTTAAGTGACCATCTGAGAAATCAACTCCAGGTTAAATTAATTGATAGAAGTTGAAATCCAGCATGCAAACAGTACTCTTTGTCAAAGTTTAGTTGTGTATCGACTTGTTAAAGGCAGAAAAGATGTATTATCATGTATAGTTAGTAATTTGTACGAACTGGATAAAAATAATGAACGTCAGTATAGCAGTGTCTTTTGGCAGACAGAAAAATGTAATTGCACCTGCATTTTCAAGTTCTGCGTAACAAACCTAATAGAAACAACATTTTCTTTCCAGTTTCTCACTTATAGAACGTTTGAAATTTCAAGTATTGTTTGTTTTTTTAATGTAACTTAGGATCCGATACCTGGAATTCCATCGGAGAGATCTGTCAATCAAGACTCAATCAGCTTACAATCTACAATCCGAGAAGTCCCTACAGCCTCGAGTTGTTCATCATCACCAAAGTCCGTACTCAAACCAAAGTCCTCAACAGGTCAAGGCCCTCTGTTGAACTTTGACAGGGAGGAACAAACAGGTGAAAGTCCAAGTCCAAGAATGTCTAGAATTTTGTTGGTTGAGTCTGCATCAGACCAACTTCATCATGCAGATGCTAAAACGGTACGTTTATATAGTTAACTACATGTAGCTGTCCATAATAAGTTGAACTAGTTATCTGAAAAATAAGGCAGACAACCTGCTACAACGAGTTAAAGAGCACAGTGTGTGTAAATTACACTCTGTGTAAATTCATTATCCATATTGAATTTGGAACACCCTTAGAGAAATTTCTGACTTTGTCGTTGACTTCAAGCTACAAAATGAAACTTTTAATTTCCTTTTGGTTTTGCAATGTTGAGCAGAAACCATTCAATGATGAAGGGAAGTCTCATGAAGAATCACCAAACAAGACCACTATGGTGTCTTCCAACAACACCAGCAAACAACAAAAGTCAAGTGATGTTACAAATTTTTCATCCACTTCAACTAACAAGAATGAAATTTTAGTCACTCCTATTAGTGCAAGTGAACAAACTTCAGAGAAGGGTAATTCTGCAGCATCAAAGGAAACACATAGTGAAAAAATAGATAGTAAAGAAAAGGCTAAAGACTAATAATGGGATAGTTAACATGTACTTGTTTTCTATATTGTTCAGACTCTTCAAAAATGTCGACGGATATTTTAGGAGAGTTCGAACAACATAGTTTGTTTCTTCTTTTCCCATGAGACTCCTTAATTGTGTAACTCAAATTTTTAATTTGTAAGATACTTGGTGTATAGGAGCTCTATGAAGTTTGATGTATACACATAGGAGAGTCAAGAGGAAATTTATTGTTGTATAGTATTTTAGGATGTAATTTATAGAGAATGACATTGAAAACATGTTTGTAGCAGGTAACCTGCACTAATTCATATGTTACTAATTTCACTTTTTTATGAAATTTTATATGCAGATGTGACCTAATAGTGTTGAAAATAATTATTAGACTAATATGTGAGGGCGATTTGCAGAAAAAAACTATTTTCACCTCGCCTTATGAATTTGTGCATAGCGGAACTATTAAAAATTTTAGAGTAGGTACGACTTGCAATTATTTTAAAGTGAAAAAATGACAAATATACCTCCGAACTATCGTAAATGGTATGCAAATACCATTCGTCATACTTTTGGGACATTGATACCCCTGACCTCCAAAAATTAGAGCATATATACCCTTTATACTAAAGGACATACACATGTCATAATCTTATTCATCGACCCGACATTTATTAAATATCGGATCGACATATAAGATTGCGTCACGTGTCCATATTTAGTCTTCCGTTAGAGTGAAGGGCATATATGCTCTAGTTTTTTGACGATAAGAGCAACAATGTCCCAAAAGTATAACGGAGGGTATCTACATATTATTTACGATAGTTCAGGTGTATATTTGTCTTTTTTCCCTGTTTTAAATTGTATTAATATAATTAGTCATACCTTGTAATTTTTTCAATTTAGTATTACTATTAAAAGCAGCTTATTGTATCATACTTATGATATGAAAATATAAACTTATGTCCAGAGACAATTGTTTGTTTTGATATTTTTTTTACCATTTATTTACCTTTTCTTATAAGGGATAATACATAACACCCCCTTTTAACTTAATTTTAGCTGACATTTATGTCTTCTAACTTTGGATCAAGTAGACACTTAGACTTGTATAAAATTGAACATATAAACACATGCTTCTTACATGATAATCCAAAATTGATCATGACGGAAGTCACCTACTCCCTCCGTCCTATATTAGTTGATCACTTTTTTTGCACGGTGCTTAAGAAAATCATAAATAAGAAGATAATTTACTAATCCACCCCTAAAAAAAACTTTTTGAAATTTTACAAATAAATGTGAACACTTTAAAAAAGAATTAACTACAAGGTTAATATAGGAAAAAAAATAATTAATGCTTTCTTGATTTAGTAAAGTGAATAACTAATATGAGACAACTATTTTTAATATAAGGGAAAAAAGACAAATATACCCCCGAACTATCGTAAATGATATGTAGATGTTATCCGTCATATTTTTGGGACATTGGTGCTCCTGCCGTCACTCTAACAGAAGACTAAATAGGGACACGTGGAACAATCTTATCCGTCGATTCGATATTTAATAAATGTCGATCAGCGGATAAGATTATAACACGTGTATGTCCGTTAGTATAAATGATATATATGCTCTAGTTTTTGGACGACAGATGCATCAATGTCCCAAAAGTATGACGGGGTATCTACATATCATTTACGATAGTTCGGAGTATATTTATCATTTTTCCCTTATTATAATAATTAACTAATACAAAAATACCGACAAAATTTTCTCGGACACGTGTACAGATTCTTTCTTTGTAATTTTGTCTTCTTCCTAAAAGACAAATGTTTGTATTTCTGTGCACTTTTCACTTCAATTTGGAGACACTCTACCTTTCTTTCTTTCTTTCTTTCTTCATCCTCTAAGTTTAACTTGCAGAGAGCGTTAATGGCTATTCCACTTATCACCATTTTCTTCATTTCTCAATAATCCCACTTTTAAGTTCTTTCCCAATTACTATTAACACAAATATTTAAGAAAAATCTCAACTTTTTTGTTGAATACTTGTAAAGCAGAAATGGATTTTGTGTATAAGAACCCATCAGCTCTTATTGAGGAAAGAGTACAAGATTTGTTATCTCGGATGACACTTGAAGAAAAAATAGGCCAAATGGCTCAGATTGAACGCAGTGTTGCTACCCCCTCTGTCATTACTGACCTTTCTATAGGTATGCCTTTTTTTTCCTCTTTGCCCTAAAAAATAAAAATAGAATGGTACTGATGGATTTTGAGGCGGAGTCGGGATTTGAAGCTTATGAGTTCGGGAAATTTAGTTCATTTAAGTTTATGAGTTGTAGGTTAGTAGGTAGTTGAGAAGTGCCTTGCTTTTGAGGGTTTAGGCTTGTTGGTGTCTGTCGTGCTACTAGCCGTATAAGTAGTTCTAGTTTTTGATATCTATCATCATCATTTGTTTTTTGTGTTTGTGCTACTGCACTATTTTGCTCTTATATTAGTATTGTGCTCTTGAGCTGAGGGTCTTTCAGAAACAACCTCTCTATCTTTACGAGGTAGTGGTGAAACATGCTTACACTCTACTCTCCCTAGACCCCATGAGTAGGATTTCACTGGGTATGTTGTTGTTGTTGTTGTTAAGGTATTGAGTTCTAAATTAGTCAATTATACATATTCAGCAGGCAAAAACGAAATTTGGATAAAAGCTATTGAGTTTGGCCTGAAGTGCTAAGTCCACTCCAGTTAAGGTGATAGATTAAATGAGTTGTTGGTGTAGATATAAGTGTGATATTTTGAGCCCTTTATTTAGTATTGAATGAAATCAACCTGGATAGAGAAGAATCGAGATAAATAACGGGTTTAAGTTATATACACTGACGAGGTAAAGGATTTTTGCACAATCAGTGTAATTTAACCTGTTACATTGGGTTGCTTACCATTTGTCATAGGTTACCGATGAATGATTATTAAGTAGAGTTACATGCAATGACCTGATTGTGCAAATATCTTTTTACATGTCCGTGTATAGAATGAGTCCTCATAAATTGATTCATTTAGGCGTTACTAACTGTCTTATAAGCATTTATCTCTGTTTGCAAACTGTTTGGCAGGCTTTATTTAAGTGTTTATCGGAAACAACCTCTCTATCTCTATGAGGTAGGGTAAGGTCTGAGCACACTCTACCCTCCCCAGATCCCACTTGGTGGGATTACATTTGGTATGTTGTTGTTGTAACTGCCTAATAAAAACTAAGGTGGTTCTACCTAGTTGGGTAAGTGTGAGATTTAGTTAACCCCTTATTTAGCATTGGAATGAAATGGACTTGAATAGAGTGGACGGGTATATAGGATACATTTAGTTGGGTTAAGCTAGTTATTCATGTAGAGGGACAAGTGTGAGATTCAGAGAATCTTTTATTTTGAATTGAAATGAACTGAATAAAGTGGAATGCATATAAATGACTCTTTTAGGTGATACTAACTGGTTGGTATTAAACTAGCTATGTATTTAGGATAAGATTGGGACTTTGAGAACACTTATAAGACGAATTGGACCTAAATGGAGAGGAACAGGTATAGAGGATTCTATTCCCGGGCCTAAGATGTTCTGGAATTGTGACAAATTTCTTGGCTGAAATTTATTTGAACCTTTTTCATGGCGCAGGGAGTATACTCAGTGTTGGAGGCAGTGCACCATTTGAGGATGCCCCATCGGAAGCTTGGGCAGATATGGTTGACAGATTTCAAAAGGCTGCGCTGGAATCACGGCTTGGGATTCCGCTTCTTTATGGAGTTGACGCTATTCATGGCAATAACAATGTTTATGGTGCTACCATTTTTCCACAAAATGTGGGCCTTGGAGCCACCAGGTTGAATTAATGTCAAGCTTTGATCTTTATTACCAATTTCTTATTGATAATTGGCATTTAAGATCAAGACCTAAATTAGATAAATGTCGAGCAGAGATGCAGATTTGGTTCAGAAGATTGGGATTGTGACTGCTCTTGAAGTCAGGGCTTGTGGCATTAACTATACTTTTGCTCCCTGTGTTGCTGTAAGTTGAACGTGTTACTTGTCCCTTTATTGTCTTTGTATTAGGTCAATTTCATGGATGAATGAAGTAAAGGAAACATGAGACATTGGACATATATACACTTAGAGCAAGATAGAAAAAGGATTCTCCTAAGTATCACATCAAAGTTTATAATTTGAATTCTTAATTAGCCCTTCCGTTACAAATTATTTGTTAGGTTTTGACTTGGCATTGAGTTTAAGAAAGTTGAGAAGACTTTTGAATCTTGTGGTCTTGAGCTAAGGATATATATAATGTACAAAAATGCCCTTTAATCTTGTCGTCTTAAACATGCCATGTGGAAAGTGAAAATGAAAGAGTTGCCAAAAAAGAAAAGATACTTTCTTTTTGAAATGGACTAAAAAGAAAAGTAGGACAAACAAATTGAGACAAAGGGAGTAGTATGTTGCTAACTGAGACAAGAAAAACATGATTTGTCGTTTTTCTTTTTGGGAATTCTTGGTTAAGATTGTTATGTTCCCAGTCCCTCGTAACTGCGATCTCTCTAGAAGTAGTACTTGTTTTTTGTTTGTTTGTTTGAGAAGGTAAGCAGCTTGTATATTGATAAAGAGAAACTACGTAGTACCAAGCTGGTGCTAAGCAATATCTCTCTAGTTGTTATCTCTTTATAACTCTATTGTCTTGAGGCATCTTGACTTCCTCATTTAAATAATGTGAAACAGGTATGTAGAGATCCCAGGTGGGGAAGATGCTATGAGAGTTATGGAGAAGACACCGAACTTATTAGGAAGATGACCTCAATTGTCACAGGCTTGCAAGGGCAACCACCTCCTGGATACCCCCAAAACTATCCTTTTCTAGCTGGAAGGTAGTAGAAGTTGCCCTAAAACAAATTCCAAAATTTTGTACGCTTCTCTGAATATATATAAAATGTATTTCTCTTGTATTTTACAACCTATACTCTTAAGTCTTATGTGCATTCAAATGCT